GCTTATTGTGCAAGTGTTTTATGAAATCGAAATAGTTTTAGATTTTTGCGTAAAACTTCCTTTTGAAAAACCAAAACTGAATCATTTTATTGCAAATTTTCATTAAATTTCCTTTTTAAAGTTCAGTTTTAAAGTTTTTAGGTTAGATTTAATTTAATTTTTGAATTTCAAACTTTTGTTTTGAACATTTGGCCCCTTACTTTTTCTTTCTACAATCTACAAGCTTTTACAAGCTCTAATTTCTACATCTTTTTGTCTATTTAGTCACTAGGCAACACAAAAATCCTTTAAAAATAGCCAATTTAGTGAAAATCCAGAAAAAACAACAACAATAGTACGGAGATAATTTTTGTTTTGAAATGCGATAAGTACAAATCGAATACAAAAAAAAAAAGAAAAGGCAGGCTTAAGAGAAATAAAAATATTTTGTTTGTTTTGTTTTGTTTAGAGCGTATAAATGCGGAAAATATTATTATTGAGAACGTTTGAATAAGCAAAAAACAGATATCAATAGCTTGTTCTAACGAAAAAGTGAACTGAAATCAAAGTTTGACACCCATGTTGGATAGGCATCATTTGCTCAGAGTTGGCGCTGATTTTCTTGGACTGGATTATTCAATCAAGCTTTATTTGGCATCATTTGGAAGCCTGGAATGTCCACTGTACAATTATATAAAGAGTTCACAAAAATATCATCTCTGCATAAAGTTATAGGCCTTCAAAGCGTGACGACCCGTTCAAAATACCCGGACACTACGCAAGAGCCCAAGATTGCTAAAATCTCTAGATTATCAGAAAGTCTACGATTATAGAAAGCAATAGAAAGCAATGTTCAGATACTGAATCGATTTTCTAAAGATATTCAAGAAAAAAGAATATCAAACCCGAAAGCAAACCAGGCGGCACAACACCCAAGTTGGATAGGCCTCATTTGCTCAGAGTTGGCTCTGATTTTCTTGGACTGGATTATCCAATCAAGCTTTATTTGGTATCATCTGAAAGCCTGAAATGTCCTCTATAAAGTGATATAAAAAGCTGACAAAAATATCATCTCTGCATAAAGTTCAAGGCCTTCAAAGCGTGACGACCCGGTCAAAATACCCGGACACTATGCAAGAGAGGAAATTTTGAAATTTCACAACTGCCCGCCTGAATTTATTTCTCTTGGAATAGGACTCTGAAAACAATTGGAATAGTTGGAATAGTTGGAATAGAACTCTGAAAACATAAAGAACCTCTCTGGCTCTACAATAAATATTATGAAAAAAAGAAAAAGAAGAAATTCTCTTTTGATAGCATTGGAATTGAAAGGTCATAAAGCATAAAGCATTGAAATTGAAAGCTTTTATAGATTTAGTATCTTATCATTGTTGAGTTTCGCAATCGAATGAGCATTTAGATTTTCGAGAAAGGAGAAAGAGGGAAATAAACAAGTTGACAATGAGTTGGGTAAGAAAATTAGTAAAAAACTGTTGAAAAAGATTCTCTTGCTTAATCAAAAATCAAAAAAGATCCTATTTCCTCTCCAAAAAAGCTTAAAGCTTTTAAAGAATATAAAATTTAAACTCAAAACCGATCTTTGATCACTTAAAAGTTTAAAAACCATCAACTTTTCTTAATTGAATGATTTACAACAGCAATTAAAATAGATTGTGGGACATTTGATTCCCGCCGCTTTGCCATTGGCGACCTAACTTTGAGCTGAAATTTCTTGGTGTTGAGCTGTTCAATTTAAATATTCTTGGTACCATTAAACGCACCAAGTCTTTCTCTGTCGATTGGTACAAAACTATTAAAATTGGACAACCGAACACCAAGATATTGCAGCTCAAAGTTGGATTGCCAATGGCGAAGGGGCGGGCTTCCTTTTATACGTCCCTGCCCCTTTGCCATTGGCAACCTAACTTTGAGCTCAAATATCTTGGTGTTAGGATGTCCAATTTCAATAGTTTTTATACCAATCGACAGAGAAAGACTTGGCGAATCTAATGATACCAAGAATATTGAAATTGGACAGCTCAACACCAAGATACTTGAGCTCAAAGTTAGATTGCCAATGGCAAAGAGGCGGGCGCGTATCAAATGTCCGATAACCATTAAAACAAGCTTTGTAGACTTTGTTTTATTAGAAAATCGACAAGTTCTGACTTCCACAAGTTCTGAAAAGAAAGTTCCGAATGAGATAAAGTGAACAGTTAACAGCGAAAACGCAAAATGGATGGCATCTCTCTGATTTCAACAATTTGACAAAGATCATGAAAATAAACAAAAAATGTTTAGAAACAAATGATTGAGAGAGTGCTAGTCAAGCAAAGGGACGGGTGGAATGGGTGCTCGCTTTTCCCTTTTCTCTTTGTCGCGCCGAATGCGCGGAAAAGGGAAAAAGGGGGGAAAGGGAGTAGAGAGACTTTTCGATGTTGACGATGTCTTTCGATCGATTCAGTCTGCGTCTCTTATTGAGAGAAGGATCTCTGATATCTTGCTGTCTTTTTCCTCTATTCTGTGGTATCCTTATATTTCTCAGATTCACCACTTTTTCTCTTCGATCGCCTCTAGAATCGCAATAGTCTGTGTCTCTTATTGAGAAAAGGATCCCTGAAATCTTGCTGTCTTTTTCACCTATTCCATTGTGCACATCCACGCAAAATAAGGCAAAAGAATGGTTTTCTGGTGAATTTGGCCGTGTGCTTTGATTCAAAAACATGTGCTGATCACGAATTTGAAAATTTTTTAAAGATCCCATTGACAATTTTTTTTAAATGAAGATTTTTGAAAAATTAACACTGGCATTTTTACATTTCCGGAACACCAAGAGGTGGTTTCGGAAAACTCTAATAACTTTAACTTAACTCTAAGAAGAACGCATCAATCTTGCTGTTTTTTGGATCGAAAATGTGAGGTGGTTTCGGAAAACTCTAATAACTTTAACTTAACTCTAAGAAGAACGCATCAATCTTGCTGTTTTTGCATCCAAAATGTTCGTAATGGATGAAATTTTAATAAAATTCGAGCCTTTTTCTTTTGCTTTTTTTTTCTGCGTTTTGTGACACGAAATGTAACGCAGAAAACAAACAAAAAGAAAAATTTTAAATTGTGATCCAGATTTGTGATCAGCGCATTTTTTAAAAGTCGAATCGCGTATCACACAAGGGCAAAAACTCACCAAAAAAACGGTGTTTCGCGCGAATTTGTGGTGTCCTACTATTAAGTTGTCCGGAAATATTTATTTTGTATTGTTTTGGAGCGTTTGTATTGTTTATTATTTGGGTACATTTTCTCAATAAAGTATGCTCCGTACCTTGTAATTTTATATATCATTAGAAAGCTGATTTCGTGCTCTCTTTAACCATACTTTTTAAATTTTGTTGAAAATAAAATTTTTGGCGATTTTAAGCTTCCACTGTTTTAGATGTCCGAAAGCAAGTTTCGCCTGATTTTCTTTTTATGAGTTCAAGCTCGGTCGCAATGCAGCTGAGACGGCTCATGTGTAAGCATTAATGAAGCTTGGGACCGAGGCAGTGTCGGCGAGTCAACAGTGCGAACTTTGGTTCCGAAAATTCGGAGCTAGTGATTTTGATCTCGAAGATAAAGAAAGGCGTAGGCGTCCTGTTGAACGCGGTGACGACGAACTGAAGAGCCTGGTGGAAGCAAATCCACGTACGACTATTCTAGAGCTTGCGGAGGAGCTTGGCGTGAGCAAGACGACCATTTCCGACCGCTTGAAACGGATTGGAAAGTCAAAAAGCTCAATAAATGGGTGCCGTACGAATTCGAACTCGGTAACGCTCATTTATTTCCGGACCAACCTAATATTTCCCGAACTCACCAATTCCTCCTTCAACATCTCTAGATAATCTGTGTTTTTAACTGAGAGAAGAATAGCTCTCATAGTTTGCTGTTTTTTCATCTATTCAGAGACGTCCTTTCTCTTATTCAGAGATTTCTCAGAGTCCACTACCTTTTCCTATTAAAGGAAGCTTATCATAAATACTCTAATAGAACACCTCCGTACAGTCGCGTAGTCTAACTTCTTTTAGAGAAATCATTTCTCAGCCCCTTAGACTCCCCCCAACTAGACTTTTGGTACCAAAAAATAGATTTCAAGGAGCTAACCTAAGCGCACACTGTAACATAAAGCAGCGCGGAGGAGTGGACGTTCAAATTAGACTTATGCGACTATGCGGCACGCCCGAAATTATAGGAAGTGGCATTCTATTAGGAGTAATTTACGGCACTATTTCAATGGCTTTCTGGATCTCTTCTCCGCAGGGATCACTGTTTTCTTCTCGTCTTTTCACTTATTCTGTAGTATTCAACTATTTTCCGGATTTACCACCATCACTTTCCTCCTCCAGCATCTCTCTAAATAATCTAAGTCTCTTTAAAGAAAAAAATCTTTTCACTTCTCGTTTTCTTTCCCTACTCTCCTATTCTCTATATTCTATTTCTATTTCTCCAATCTGTCATTTGCTTCTTTTACGCTCTCTATTTCGTCACTAAAATCTGAATCTCCAGCGCAATTGATCTTTTCATGAAATCTTTCACTCAGCAACGCTCTTGTTCTTTGTATCACTCTGTAGTGACAGACTCTAATTCCCCGCTCATGGGTTTTGAAATCTTTCCCAATTCTCTAATCATTCTATCTTTCCCCGAATCTTTTTCTTCTCACCCAATTCCCCAATCTCTCCTTTCTTTTCTCCCTCCACTGTTCCATTGTTTGTTGTTTTCGTTTTTTGTGCCGATTCTCTTGGCATCCACCCCGAAAAGTGCCCTTACCCTTGATCGTAAAAATTTTTGCCCTATTACTCATCGCAAACATTTCTCTCGTTTGTTTTTAAGGTGGTTTTCAATTTGACCACTTTGCCCTTTTTCTATTTAGTGTTTGAATGGTTATATCTCACGATTTAGAAAAATTTCTTCATATGATGCAATACTCATAAACTCCTAAGAGGGATGAAGTGGTTCTGTGGTTCAAATTCTGGTCCTACTACCGCTTGTTTATGTCATGCTTAGAGGTTTGTTTTGGTTTTATTTTGTTTTGTTTTATTTAGAGGTCTATTTGGAGTTGGTTCAGTAAGCAAGCAAAAAATTCGTAAATGAAACTATTTAGCTGAAGAAGAAGAATAAGTTAAACAATAAACAACAATAAAGAATAAGTTAAACAATAAACAACAATAAAGAATAAGTTAAACAATAAACAACAATAAAGAATAAGTTTAATACAATCTCAAGAGCTTAAGAGTGTGAAAAATATCAATTTAAGCATGCCAGATTCAAACACGGTTGCTAATCTTAACTCTTATTCTAAATATTCTATTCTAGAAAAGATTCTAGCTATAAGAAGTCCAGTACTGATTATTAAACATTCGCTGAAGGGAATTGTACTAGAGCAAAATTTTAATGTCCTGGCTCAAATTCTTCGGGAATTCCGAAGTTGAGTACAGGAAAATGTACGTTTTTAATACTCGGATTTTAGTCAGAGCGTTATTTAGCTGTGATCAATTGGGTGGATCAAATAAACATCCCATTTTTCAGCATTTCAACTTGACTTAGCAATCTACACATTGTGCTATTTCACGTTATGGAAGGCTTACGATCTATTGTGGTGAGCGGTTCGCAAAATTTTGATGGTTAATCGATTTTTCCATTTTAAAATCAGCTTATAGCTTGAGTAACGATCAATCCCATGATAACAAGATGAGTAAGCAATCATTATAACAACTGGGAATTTTTTTCTTTATCTTAGACTTACGCAATCAATTCAGGGTTCTGGATCCATTTGATGCTTTGCACGTGTTTCCCCACAACTTCGGAGTGAGAATTACCTCACTCGTTTGGTAAAACTTGATACAAACACAAGCGTTTGTATTACCCCCGGAAATACTATAAGGTAAAGATTTGGATCAGTAATAGAAATGAATCAAAGTTTAGGAAATTTATCTCAAACTTTGTGGTCAACCGGTACCAAGTCTGAAATCGCGTTGCAGGACATTCGAGACAAGGTAAAGAAGTTGAACCAAGTGATTGAACTACTCGGCTAACTTGCCCAGTAACTCATTAAGAATCAAATATTTCACCTTTTTGAAGGAAAATTGGGTTTTGTGTACTAAGATTGAGGGTTTTGCGCGCAAAATAGGCTTCTAAAGTCGAGTCCAATAGAGTGAGCAATTGATTCTAGCTTAGGAGTGTGTTCCTCGAGGTAATGCGTTTTTTAAAACGCACATTTGAGAAAAATTACCGGTACTTTTTTAGTGCAAAGTGAAAGTACTTTTTTAGTACTTTATTACAAAAAATTGGCGCGGAAAAATCACGAGGGCCGAAGCTTATATGTACGACTCCTTTTAAAGATATTCAGCCGCTTAACTAATTTGGTGGCAAATTCCCTCAAATGTAAAGATATTCACATTTACTCGATGGGTAAAGAGGATTACTCGTAGTTACGCGATCAAAACGTCGATTAATCGAGTAAAGAATACCATGCGAATTTACTCGAGTAATTACTTACTCGCAAGAAATGCACTCTAATTCTAACGGTAAATGAATCGGTAAAGCGCCATAAAGTCTAGATCTGGATTCAGGAAAACGAATCTAAAATTTGTTCAGGAAATCCAAGAGGCACGAGGCTCGTCTTTCAAGGAGAAGGACTCGGAAACAAAGGTCGAGAACGTTACGCAAGAGGAGAAACGGCTGTAGAAGAAGACTTGGAAGAGAGCTCATCGGGGGAGTAGTGGAGAAGATGATGAGATGGACACTGGTGGCGATCAGGAAGAAGAAGAAGTGGGTCCTTGTGGGAAATCTTTAAAATTTACCCAATCAATTTTCTAGATATCCCCGAATCGATCCAATCGAAGAGGAGGAGAAAAAGGTCCGCAAGTATGTGTACGTTGGAACGGCTGTTGAGGACTCGAATAAGGACTTGGAGACAGGCAAATAATCTAGAAATATGGAATAACCTTACACCTATTCAGCTGCCAAGAGAAGCCGAGTTCCGATGTTTCTGAGCCAGTTGCTCCACCAAGAAACCACGAACCGAACACCCGAGCTTGGAGCAAGGACAAACGCTGTAGAATCTCATGGTTGGTGTTTGAAACGGAAAAAAGCTGGTTTTCTTGATCTTAAAAATTTTAAGATTAAATTTTATTTGTTTTTTATGTTTTGGAGTGAAAGTTATAATGATAATGCTGTCTTCTTGAGTCGAAAAGTCTTAGTTTGATTCAACTTGAGTTCTGTGTAGTCTAAAAGTTTATCCCCAAATCTTGAATCTATTAGATCTTGCAGTTGCAGAAGCTACCATAAATACTCTAAGAAGCGGGGGCTCATAAGAGCGTCCGCGTAGTCCAAGTTTACTCTCAAACAAACGCTCATATCTCGGCGCCTAGACATTTGTATCTACGCGCTTACGTATCAAATTAAAGCAGAGAGGATGGATGATTTTTGACATATAACACATATTTTTAGCATTAACCGGCACTTAGAACAAAATGATTGAAGGATGGGCTTTTTTCATGATGAAAATCGACTTTTTTTTTGCCACTTTTTAATTATTAGTTCTAAGCGCCGATTAATGCACAAAAGTGTTACATCTCAGCAAAATCACCCACCTTCTCTATTTTAATTTGGAAATACTAAGCGTGTCACGAAACATAAATGTACTGGTGCCTGAGATATGAGCGCGGTTTGAGTGGAATCTTAGACTACGCGACAGCCCTAAAGGGGCTCTTCTATTAGAATATTTACGGTGGGTATTATTTCAGCCAGTAACACCACTCCACCACTACTACCGGGAGCCACCGAGCGGGTAGTTCACGAACCACTGAAGAGACTGAAGAAACTGATGTCGCACAGGGAAGCGGCGAGAGGAGTGACACGAATACACGAGTAAATGGATCGACAAAAGTGCCTGGGGTGCCAAAATGCATTAAGAACAGGTTGGATAAAAATGAGGCTCAATGTAAAAACAATTCTAGGTTTCACAAAGAGGCCAGCATTCGATCAACTTCCCCGCCGAAAGCCCGAGAGGGGCCATCGTTAAGGTGAAACCGCCGGAGACGTTCTTGGGTGAGTTCGCCTTATAAAAATTTGATCCAATTTCAAAATTACGTAAAATTTATTCACTTTAGGCGAACTTGGGGAAATTCCATCACAGATTTTCGTCTCGATTCGAAATTCCGATGGAGTGCGAGTACAGAGCAGCGTGAGTATCGTGAGTTTTATTTTTGTAAACAATTGAAATTGGATTCTCTAAAGTTTTGTAAAATTCTTGGTCAGAGATGTTATTATTTGGATTTAGCTGAGATTGACATACTTCGACCCGACTTCACGAATACGTACGCGACATTGTTCTCATTCCAAAGATGCTAGCAAAACGGGAGAAGCATGATCGAAAGTGGGGGTATAGCTTTATAAGGAAGAGAAAGCCCAAGCAGAAAATGTTGATTTTTATTTTATATTTTATCATTTGAGTACTGCTAGTTTAGTACTCAAAAGTCATTGTAAAGATTTCCCAAGTTTAGGGCCCTAACAAAACGCCTCCGACAACGAGAAAAAGAGCTGGCTCCGAGAATTGTCAAAAGATTGAAAGAAAGTGAGTCGACATAAAGATTTTAATTTGCTTAAGTAACCAAATTTCAAAGAATTTATCTAAAAATGTTTTAACGACAAATTTAGTGCCAAAGAAAGTGGCCGACTCAATGTGAATTGGTGTTGGCTCTTCTTCGTGTGATCGATCCTGGTTGCCGTTTTGATTGGTGGAACATTCGTCGGACTTTCGTCTTTGCGAGAATTTCAGCTACGTTCGCCCGGGCACGCTTACAAATTTATACTTGCTTCAGATGATCTTCTCGTGAGTTTTTGAGTGAAACGATGAGGATAAAAATTGCTTTATTAGTCTGAGATGGCTAACTTTGATCTGCCTTTTGCCACTTTTAGGCCCAAGAAGTGTTATCTAGGTTGATTTGTAGATGATAGTTGTAGATGATGCCAAAATTAAATAGGTATTTATCTGAAATTAAGTAGGTACTTATCTAAAATCAAATAGATGTATTTCGTCAGGTGAGCGTTGATCTGAGACTTGGAAACTTTTGGTCCGAATAGCAACTCAGATAATCGCTCTAATTTTATGGCCCTGTCCCGACTAATTCCACTGAATCGATATTACTGTAATCCAGATAGTCCACACAAACCAAGTAAGAAAGCATATATTTTTGACCTCAGTCACTTAAGATGCCCCATTCGTTGGAATAGAGGCTTTTGTGGATAGAGAGGGTTTCTTTTTCTAATAATTTTACGTTTTGAACATCCCCGATTATTTCACAGATGCATAATTCGGCAGATTATGCTAAAATTAAATAGGTACTAGTCGGTTAAAAAAAGATCCGTGCATTAAGTCGGTGATACAAAATGCACCCCAACTTGTGGCGATATAACCGACTTGATGCATGGATTAAACTATTGTGGGATGACCGGGATAATCGACTAATTTCATTAAAAATATCTTAACATTGTTAGTTACCCCATTTCTTTAGGGTGACAACTTCTATTGACGTGACCATGTTTCTGATGAACTGTATCTGTGGATTTGGTGTTGTCAGTGGAACGTTCTCCTCTGCCGACTGGGATTCATTCCGATTCTGGTGTTTGCTGCTGTTATTTAGTGTGGTGAGTTCACGAAGTCGTAACTATAATAGGCTAATTGCAAACTGTCTCACGAAAAAATTCAGTTTTATTTAGATAGTTAGTCAGAGTCAGTCAACAAGCAGTCAGATAAAACATGTAACTTCTAAAAATCTAAGAACATTGACTAGCTATAAGGCTTTCAGAGGGTCTTTTGGTTCCTTTTCGAACCTTAAACTTTTCCTACTTTTCGTACAGTTTAAAACCAACAAATGCACCAATTGAATTATGGTTTTGTTTCATTAGAAAGGTCAATTATTTTTCTACAAAAATAACATTAAAACGGGTTTAAAATGTCTTATGTCTGAATTTTTTTGGGAGTATGAAGTCGGGTGGTTAAAAAAGGTTGCCTGTTCAAACATGCGGTTTAGACACTTTAGCTAAGGAAACCTATCTTCGTGTCAATAGATAAAAAGATAGAAGCACAAAGGTTAGGTATATAGCCAAATTTTCAGAAAAATTCATTCAGCCAATTTCTTCGTAGAGGTTTTCTATGAGATTTTTATAGAAAAACACGTGTTTCACTCTCAATTTGCTTGAAAGTGAATCAAAAATTGACTTAAAATTATGGAAATTAAACAATAAACACTTTTTATTTAGAGTAAATCATAGTTTAATTGATGAATTTGTTAATTTTTTAACGAAAGTACGAAAGGAACAAAAAGACTCTGAAAAGCCTAATAGAACCAATAAAAAGCCCGATTGACAGCAAGAAAAATAACAGTTTAAATAAAATATAGCAAAGTTCGTAACCGCAAAACTTTTCCAGACTCAATCTCGATGATTTGGCCAATGTCAAGGGTGATGGACGACTTGGAGGACGCTTCGTGGTGCAGATTCAAGAACGGCTCAGAGCTCGCAAAGTATCAGCCTCGTTGGCATATGACTTGAACATCCAAATTCTGGATTACAGAACGATTAACCCACATATAGGGCAACGCACAGCTGTGAGCCTGAAAACTGTTGTGTCCTTTGATGTTCAGTTCCTTAAGCCAGTATCTTTCCTTCGGGTCTCACTGTTTGACTTCTGATTGACTTTTGATTCACAATAGCTTGCATTTTTTCATTTAATTCAATGTCGCTTTTGAATTGCTTACACAAAATCTGTAATCTAGAAATCGACTCGTGTATTTTTCTTGATTTTGATTCGATTTTTTCGTTTTCAGATTTTAGATTATTTCCACGGGTCTATTTCATTGCTTAACATAATAACCAAAATTTTACCGGTTTATGTCGATGCTTGGTCTTTTCAATTCTTGCAAATTCTGTTCTCAACGATGAACTTTGGTTTTGATCGCGATTACGAGAAAATCTTGTTGTGTACAAAAATTGTAATACCGAAAAGCAAAAGCGTTACCGTAAATACTGCAATTGTAACATGTTCAGGTATATATCCTGGTTTTGGGGCAGGATTTTAACAATAATTGTACCTTGTGGCGTTTCTTTGGGAAATCACAGAACTTTTTTTCCCTCTACAAAAACTGATACAGGGTGGCGCATTATTGCCCGTACACGAGTTTTTAGAAGTATAACTCCTGTAATCGAGGCTGATCTTCATATTCTCTTCTTTTGATAAATTTTAGTTATTTTTTGTTATTTTTAGTTCAAAATTAGGATACACTATTCGTTTTCTTTTCACTTTTCTATTTTCTATATTCAAGCATTTCTTGTTTTAGAAAGTGATTTTAGATGTTGGTAATTGCTTTTAATATAAAGTAATGTTCTGTGTCGCT